TTTATTGTTATAATAGTTTATATAAAAGCTCAGAATGGCAGTTTAAGAGCTCAAATGATACGTGCATTGGTTCGTTGTACATTGCATCGTCTAACTCGGTTAGAATCGTGTTCAACACGAGAAAGAGACCCGCGAGACGTCCGTCGTTTTTCTCGGATTTCTCCTTTCCCCTCGATCCGCTTCTTGTCCAGGAAGTTCCGAGCGTTGGCGGGAAAAAATGGAGAAGTCTCGAGCTCTCGGAGCAATCGAGCAACATTTGCCGGGCTCCCACGACTGTTTGGCGATAGCTGTGCCAACTTGTTTCGAGCACGCAACCCAATTTGTCTGCGTCTCATTGTTTTACTGCTCTCCCCCGTCCCCCGCTGTGGATAGTAGTCGCTTCACCGGTGCAGTCGTGCCCGCGAATTATTGCAACCCTCCAATGATCGAGTGGAGTCTTCCCGAGCTTTCTAGTTTAATAACATTTTTGAACGCAAAAACTTGCGCGAGTGCAAACAGTATGACGGGGATTTAACTCAATATTTGGAAACACACACACTGTTCAGTATTAATTTATTTGCAATATTATGTTCATATCCCAGTGAGAAATGATAATGGAATCGATGTCGAATCGACGTCGATTTAATAATTTTGACATCGAATTAACATCGATTCGATTGTATTGTCAATTCCATTGTAATTTGTCACCGGGATAAATAAGAAATTTTAACAAGGGAAGATATAAATCATATTTTAGCAAAAAAAAAACAGCGAAATTTTTAGTTGCTGTATTACTTATTGACATTACGTTAAAATTAATTTGAGTGATGAGTGTTAAGTGTTATAAGTGTAAGTATTAAAAGTGTCAAAAGTATATTATATCATTGAAATTTTATATTTCTTTTATTTCAATTCTAAGTAAGTAAAATCTTAATGCACATTATTTTATTAAAGGTACATACTTTAAGTTTTTTTCTGTGACTAATTGATTTCATCGCTGACTCAACCCTCATTTTTACGTTGTAGGGATCGCCACTGTCTCCGTATTAGTACTCGTGATTTGAACCCTTAGTAAAATGTAGCAGTTAACAGTTTATCGCTTATTGTCGCGGTACACAGAATTTTACTGCCACTAACTAGCGATTCAAATTAACCAGGTGGCCAAACGAAGACCCTTCTTTCTTGTTCGTCCTCTTGCTCTGTCTCTCTTCCTTCCTATTCGAAATGGTCGGCTGTTATTTTGATCGTTTTATATTCTTTTAAAAATCTCGAAAGTATGAATGAATAGTATTTCCGAAATGGAAATGCCGTGAAAATCTGACAAAGAAATCCAAGTCTATGATCAATAGAAAATCATCGGAAGATCTTCAAACAGTAGATTAACTCGGATGGTTATCCTGCTAGCTAGACCATTCATTTTTTATACTTTTAAACATTATAATAATCAGTATTTTACTGTTCAACTTAGGCTACGATCCCGCTTGATGCTAAAAATGCTTTGAAGCATTTTTTGGTCAATTAGTAAAATTCTTTTTTCCGATTGGTCAATCAAAAGCTTCGAAGCATTTGTAGCGTCAAGTGAACCCTTAATGTTTAAGTAATTAAACAATGGATTCATTGAAATACATTTTGCAAATTTTTCTAAGGCAATAAATTTGTGCTCTGACTATTGTACGTATATGAAATTTATGGATAGTAACTCGGAGATAATCAACAGAATTTTTGGAACAACAATTTGATTTATTAATATGGATTAATTAATAAGAAGTTTTTTGTATTTCTAATAATGTTTAATAATTATTCAGTTAGAATTTAATAATTTTGATTGAATAATTTATAATTTTGTTTATATTTATATGGGTTATTTTTATGTATTATTATATATTGTTAATATTTATATGTATTATTATATATTGTTAATATTTATATGTAATGTTAATTATTAAATATCGATTATATAATAAGAAATATAATATTGGAAAAAAAAGAATATTATTTGTTAACGTTAGCAGGTATTCTTTTCACCTCAAATCGTTAGGATTGAAGGGAGACGTAGGGTAAAAGCTTAGTTTCGTAAAAATACTTGCCGGCCGAGTGGCCACTTGACACTTGGATCTTGTCGTTTTTAGAATTCGGGTATCCCGGAAATCGGAAAACGTGCTATATTGAATGACCATTCTCCATTATACTGGATATCTCACCATTAACATCACAATATCGGTACCTGCTCTGACGCAGCAGTCGAAAGAAAAACACCTGAGATCGTGCCGGCGATCCTTGTATTTTATTGCTGGTACGTGAAGAGGAAAAATTTCCGTTAAGTTTTTCGAATAACCCTGACCACCTCGGACCCGAACTTTTTTTGCTCGAGATATGACATTGCATTTACAACGCAGATAATTTCTTACAAATATGCGTGTGGTCATTCATACAGCAAAGATGTCCTATGGATCAAGAGAATGACTCTTTGTCCAATGAATGTCCTAAGAATATTTCCAAGATATTTCTCAGATAAAGTGTGCTATGTTAAGTTTGAACATTAGCAGTCGAGTATTATCATTTAATCTCAGATTATCAAAATGCTCTACCTTTCTCTCTCTCTCTCTCTCTCTCTCTCTCTCTCTCTCTGTCTCTGTCTCTGTAGGATGTCGCTTCAAGTAGCTGTTAAAGAGCGTAGTAAATTTGGGTAAACTTGAACGGTTCTGAGACAGACCGAAAAGGTCTTCCTCCTTTTTTCAAATCTTTTTTCCGACATCGAGATAAAAGGATTATATATGGCTTATTGTAAAAAAAATAACAATAAATATCATCATGTATATTTACGTTCAAAAATATTTTTATGAGCAATGTTTTAAATAATTCCCTACTTCCTAAAATTTATTATTACGTTGAATAACTTCCATACCTTCACAAAGTTAGACTACATAGTGTAATAAATAATTAATCAAGAATGGGAAGTAACGCATTACTTGTAACGCTACTATTATTATTGCCTTTTTGTAATAATGATATGGTAAAAACATCACGATCTTTTTATGACAGTATTGACAGTAATAAAAAAAATATTAAATAATATTAAACGAAATAATATCGTATATTATACAATATTAATAAGTAATCGATTTTTTATGTCATTTATTACATTTTTTGTAATAACAATTTGATGATATTACAATTTTTTTTTACGTAATAACTTCAAGAGTTGGAACAGTTTGACTTACTCTTATACTACTTTTCAAAAGTGACTGTTTCAATCCTGAAATTATTACTGTCATAAAAAATTGTAACGTACGTCATTACCAAATCGTTATTATAAAAAAAAAACGATAACGGTGTTACGAGTAACATTATTTTCCATCCTTGCAAATAATTATCTTCACAAATGTAAGTGACATAAAAAATTAATTACTTTCTAATATTTATATTAATTACGTTTAATATTATTTAAATATCTTATGCTTTTTTAAATATTTTTATAAGCAACTGATAAAGTGGAATATATTCCGTTTTAATTACATATTAGATAACAATTTCCATTAAACTATGAAATTTTTCCATTTCAAGTGACATGTGTTTTATGGTTATTAATAATGAAAAAAAGATAATTTTAAAATATTTAATGTAGTTAATAAAAAAACTATGCTCTTTATGTCGTCGCTTGAAATACTTCTCTCATTATGATTGACTGAAAGAAAAGCCGGCGGAATTTGGCGGAAACGGATCGAAGAATATCTTACGTTCATTCATAAAGTTGCCACAAAGGGAGTGATAGGCCCTGCAACAGCATGAATGAACGTAATATTTAACTTAGCTTTGACCGGACGACGGGTAGGTCCCCAGGGTCACTTCTTTCTTATTCAAGAGGTTTGTTGAGAGAGAGATTTCTTTTCTACAAAATAAGACCCTCGTTCGAGTCGCATGTTGTTAGAGACGATCTGGACTTGGCATGGTTCGTTAAAGCCACTAGCCACCGACGTCGTTTAAGAACCGCTTAAGATGTTATTGTAAGTATAGTAGAACGATGATTTTTCTTTTTTACAGTTTTCACAGGTAGTGAAAGTGTTCTTGTGTGAAATTTTGAATTGCACTCTTAAAAGTTTCGGTTTTCTTTTAAATGCATTTGTGAAGTACGTGAAAACTCTCACATTCTAATCAATCGAATAAGTTGAAGATATTGTTATACTATATACAATAATAGAAAATTAAAGGGTAAAAATTATCCAGATGTATAAAAACAATTGGATGATCATAGGAATAGAGCATGTATAAAAAAAAGAATTAGATGGCGATATTAAATTAAATAATTGTCTATTCGGTGATGCTTTGATTCGACGATCTCGCGATCTCGCAGGTGCAACGAATGAACGGGAAAGTAGGAGAACCATATATCGTAGCTGAATACGATTAATCCGAAATTTATGATGGAAACCAACAGGTGTCGGCATACCGCACGGCCCTTTCGCTCCTCGTGTGTGTCCCAGTGTGTAACAAGGCGTACCACTCTACGCCGAAGGATTCGCCTAACCGATATGCGTGACTGCTCTTAAACGTTCGCTTCCGGTTTCCGGTATTATCGGCTTAATCAGATATGTTAATTGCCCGCGCAAATACGCGGAGATCGAGTAATCCTTTTAATATTTCGAGATCAACGGTGAAGACGTTTTCGTTTTCATAAAATAATACATTAAATGTGTGTTGAGATTTTACAGAGCATGCTTCTTATCTCTCTACCTCGATAGATTAAATATCTGATAGATTCATATAAGACGTCTGATTTATTTGTTAAGATAACGTTAAATTTACCATTGTAAGATTTTTAATTTTCGATTTAAAGTAACATGCGGTAACAATTTTAAAATTAATTTATCATGTGTCTTATATAGCTAAAAATTAAAGTTATCGGTTAAAATCTCGTTTTAGTCACTAATGCAAAAGTTAAAATCAGCTAAACACTGTTATTCTTAACTGTTATTTTCCACACAGAATATTATGTCTTCAAATCCTTTTTCGCTATTTTTTACCTGTAATCCTCCTCGTTGCTGACATAATCGGGCGGTATCAAATGCCAAGAAGCGTCGTAACAATCGTCGTATCCGGCTGCCATTTTTCTTGCTTTTTTTTCACTAAATCGATTAACGAACGTGCTCGTTTCCGTAGCCGACACAAAAAGTTGAAAAATATCCCGCGGCTTTTCCGGTCAAAAACGTACCTCCGCCGGTTGATTCATCGAAAAGACAGCCGAAAGAATTCTTTGGCGACTTCGAATATTGCTTCAACAAATAAATCTTTTTTCGGACGCGATAGATCCGCATTTCATGCTCACGTTCCTCGAAAATCCGACGCGTATTTCGCATGAAGGATCATCTCATATCTTCCTGCGACACGAATCCTATTTTCCGGTGAACTTAAACAAAGCGCAAGAAGGGAAGCGATATTGATATGATATGGATTAATTTACATAGCTTCAAGAATTTTTGAAAAAATTGATTTTACAAGCATTTATCAACGTTAAAATAGATGTAACGAACTAATAATAACGCGACCACCAATTGTTGGAATGTGAACAAATTTTTCTCGATAGTGAGTTCAAAATTTTCACTTTTTTTCTAACGTCCTTGCGCATTATCTATCAAATATTTGTTGAAGAAGCGATTCGACACTCGAAAGAGGAATTTAATGAAAATTATCGTGGAAAATAACACCGAGATTATAACTCTCGTCCAACTCGTGATAGCTTTACTGAGAACTTTGTGGCAATATATCGATCACCTATATATTGTATCAAAAATATGGCTACCTGATAGGAGCTCCAGCAACCTTATCAGTGTGATAACACCCTACATAGATTAGTTTGACTACCGCAAATCATAACGTCGAAAGGAGCCGAAATATTATCAAGTCTTCTCGATTTCTGATGATGCATTTGCATAATTATTTCCCCCTGCTTTGTATGTTTGAATACGTTTCCAAAAAAAAAATAATCTTTTTTCTTATATATAATTAATCCGTTATTATCATGAATTCACAAATTGAAAAGCATAATAGCTTTACGAATATAATAATTTTAATTTTGTTTATGCTATTAAATAAAACACTACTCTCACGTACACATTGTGTTCATAAATATGAAAGATATATTATAGATAAATATACTGTACATAATGTAGATTGTATACCCAAAATGCATTGCATCATCATGTGTACACCGAAAGAAGATTGGTTGCTGTAGCAAATTAGATGGTAACTCTGTTGAAAATTTTTCTCAGAATTTTTCATATAATTTTTCAGAATTTCTATATTAATTTTATAATTTTCTCATATTTTTTTATACGAATTGGAACATTTCTCAGAAAATCTACATCTTTTCTTAGAATTTTTCGTATGTGTTAATTATGAAATATCGCAAGATTTTTAAGATTTTTTTGTAAGTATAATTTCTGATAAAATGTTATAAAATTAAAAAAATTTAAAAATATATTTTTTAAAAATTATGGGATGAAAAATTTCAGAATATTTCAGAATTCACTTGTATGAAAAATTCTGAGAGAAGATGTAAACTTTCCGAATATCTTTGAGTATTTCTGAAAAATGTTCTAATTATATCGTATAAAAATTGAGAAAAATTTTCAGGGAAAATGGCATAGCATTTTTAATTAGCTGCAGCAGCTTATCCATAATGTCAATATACGATAGGCTAGCTAACGCAACCAAAAATTGGCTACTGAAACTAATTAAAAATGCTACGCCATATTTAGCCAATCTTTTCTTTCAGTGTACGTGCAGTTATGTTAAGATTAAAAGACGGAAAGTCTTTATCTGTCATTTGTGACTTTATAACTGTAAAAAAAGAAAAAAGAAGAAAATTGTAGATTGTCGTATCTATCACGTGTAAAATAATTTTATCATGCATTACTAGGTTAGGATTTTCTACTAGGCTATGCTGACACAGCGTAATTTCAGCAAACAAACGCGTTTTTATTATTATTATCGATATATTATTTTGTTATTGTTTTGTTATATTATTTGTATTTTGTACAATCGCCAAGTTTCATTCTCAAGTTGAGCGCGATTCAGTATTAATATATATAGTTAATCCCCGCAAAAATTATCATTTGGAGTATTCCAGCATAAAATCATAGAGAGAGACATAAAAAAATTCATATAACAATGTTGCGAGTGTTCCAATTGAGAACAGTAATTGTAAAGAGGTAATAATCGGCCAATTGTTCTCGACTACTTGACAGTCAGTTGTGCTGTACAATTTGTTAATGACAAGAGACCCTCGAGATGAAGTATCCACGGCTTACCGACAAGTGCTACCGAACGAAGCCCGCTACGAGTGCACTTGATAAAGTAACATCGTTTCCCTCACTATCTGTATTTATTTATGCAGTGGTTCGCACAGATAAGCTAATCTTCACGTAACGTAATATTAATAACTGTAATTATTGCGGCAGAGAGAGACACCATCTCGCGTAAGAAAAATCGCGTTAGGCGTAATTATAAAAATCAATGACATTAGATGATGAAAACTACTATTTGTGGGAAAATTATTTAATGCGATCCACGATGATGCAATTTAATCGCAGAATGTCGAATATCGTCGAGTAATTTTTTCGTCAAATTTCCAGAACGCCACGTGACATCGTTTATCTATCCATCCAGCACATCTATAACATATGGGTCTAATCTCCGCTTATCGCGGTTAAAGCGATAAGAGCAAGTTGTTGCGTCGCAAAAATGGACGTGCTCGCGGTATCTCTAATAATTTTATGAAAAGGTGGGATAAAGAAATTGCGAGCGTCGTAATCGTAGTGTGTAAAAGATTGATATAATTTTGAGCAACAAAAATTTATGCCTTGAAAGATAAGGGGGTTGTAACGAGCAATCAATCATTTTGCCTGTTATTGATTTAGATTATTTTTATCATCGGTTGTGTATTGACGATGCATATTGTGAGTCTTAGTTGATATAATAATGCAATAATCGTTAAATAATTAGCAAAAAGCATATTTATACGGTTAAATAATTTATTATCGTAAGATCAACAGTGTCTACATTTAATAATAACAATATAAAATAATCTCGGTTAAATATACATTCACACAAAAAGGAGGATAGTTACTCATTACAATATCTTAAGTAGAGATTATAAAACCTATACATTACACCGCCGTGCCGATCTTTATGCATTTTGATGATCGGAATTAAAATAATCAAAATTACAGATACAAACAATAAGCATCTGCAATAATACTTATTCCATGATTATCATTGACTGAGAAATGCGATCATTTCAAAAAGGAATATGTACTGAAAGAAAAGATCAGCTGCTGCAGGCATTTTTTATGGTAAAATATGACACAACATTTTTAATTGACTGCTGCAGCCAATTAAAAATGCTATGCCATATTCAGCCAATCTTTTCTTTCAGTGTGGACGTAAAATATTTTTATCATACTGCTAAAAAAAATAACACACATAATTATAAATTAAATAAAATGCTAAATTGAAAAAGTTAGACAAACTATGACATTTTTGTTTCGCTTTGAGAAACAGACTTAGAAAGTGTTGATTTACGAAGCGTTTTGTATACGTATATCTCAACGTATAGCTTTGTTTAAGTATAAAGAAAAATTTAAAATTTGCATTATACAAATATGCGCGTCGATAAAAATGAACTTATGCTGATTTCTTACTATAACATTTATTTTATAAATAAGCGAATATATCTAAAAAGAAAATCGATTCAATAGTTTTGGAGATAACACGCAAAACTTTATTTCCGCACGTGCTATGTTTTGCACTACCGTATTGCTTAGAAACAACATTCAATTTATAATCGCAATTACGTAATTGTCGAGATACGATGTTTTGTCCAAATACACTGAAAGAAATAATTGGCTGCTGCAGCAATTTAAATGATAAAATATGCATAGCATTTTTGATTGGTAATGTCAATATATGATTTCGATAGGCTAACGCAACTGAAAATTGATTGCTGTAACCAATCAAAACTGGTATACCATATTTTACCATCTAAATTACTGCACTAGCCAATTTTTTCCTTCAGTGTATGATATGCTTCCGTACTTTCAATGTATTGCTGCGATTTAGATGCAGTTACATCCACTTGTCTACAAAGTTTCCGTAATTTTGTAAACCTTATCACTCAACCAGATTTAAAAAAAATTAACCAGATTCAAGCTTATCATTCAATCAGATTTAAAAAAAAATCAAAATACATATACATTTCGGAGTTACGAATAAAAAAAACAATTATTCAATTAATCTTCTGGTATTTAAATGTGGTTTCAAGTAACATGCGGATTTAAAGTGATTTAGGATTAGTGAACATTATTATTTTTTTTCTCTCACATCGTGTAGACTGTAGACTATAATTATTATAGAGAATATTATTATAGAGAATGATTGAGCTCGTGTTAACGCGCGGTAATGACGATGTATTTTGAATCAGTTATACTTTGGACAATTACAGTTCAGATGAAATTTTCCTGAGAAACGCAAGCGTCTAAATGATGAAATATCTACAAGCATCTTAATTCGTTAAATAATTTTTAAGAGTAATAATTGATGAGCGACTGCGATGATTCGAAGATCTATACAAACTCGACTTCCATTCAGATAAACGTTCTGATTATCTGATATCTCTTTGTTATATCTTGACGACGAACAGTTATCTATTATTCGAAATCACATTTAATCTTCAATAATTGCGTAACTGTCAATGACGTTTGATACGACGCGATATTGCGTATCACGTAGTGATTTCTTGTCTCGAAGGAAAGCTTTCGTTCTTTTCTTTCCTAGTCTCTCTTCCTCTATCTTCTCTTTTTTGTTTTGCTTTTGTTAATCGACTAGTTTTTCTTGCGACGACTCGTGCGCTTACCTTTGTGACTTTTACTCATGTTTGTACTGTGCTTCTCCACTACTGCGTCGTTGTTAGTCTGCCTGGATTTCGAGTCTGTTAAAAAAAATATGTCGATTCTTTGAAGTAAGTAGACTTTGAAATAAGTAGATTCATAATTTATCCTGGCGATACACATTGAGGTCCCAAAAACTCCAATGCAATTTGCTAAATCAAGATTTTTTCGTGTTTCTGAATGTTTCTTCTCCTTTAAATCTATATATCTCAAAGCTCTTTAATTCTATCGACTTTTACACATTATAGACTTGTTTCTTAATCAATTCTCTATCGATTGAAAAAAAATTAATTAAAATGTTCATTCTACGGAAATTACGGTAACAAATATGGATGGGGTTCCAGGGACCCGAGTGTGTATATTAAAGGTGTACAGAGAGGATTAATAAATTTATAATAAATTTGATAATACAGTTGTGAACCAACTTATACAAAGTGCGTAATTATAATGTTATACCTGAAATCATTGATGCTGAGAATCGTGCTTCGCCATTGATAAACTCTTTTGTCTTTAATATTTTTCTTGAGACACATTCTAAATAATTAATAATTTAAATATAATTACTTTATTTATTTAATATATTGCGATTATATGCGATATTCGTCGCCACGACGATAGTTTTTCTTCGATTTACTATAAAGCTCATTGATGCCATTACATATAAAAATAGCTTTTACTGAATAATATATCGAATATTACGCGCGAACGCAGAATTACGCGTATCACTTTAGTAGTGTTATATTTAATGATAATTGGATTACTTCAAATGGATTCAATTTTGTATAGGAATATCATAAAATAAAAGAAAAAATTTTATTTGATTTTTATTTATAGACATATCATATTTTACTTCTTCAACATGATGGAGAATACTTTTTAATATCACAAAAAGAATCTAAAATGTATTAAATGAAAATATTGAAATTGATAAATTCGATTTATGTCCAATTAAGTGGATAAAAATCGTGAGATTTAATTCTAATGGATTACTTCATCTAGAAATATCTTAAATAATTACCAACTTTTTAACGTTTAAACGCAAACAATACAATATAAAAAGGAGTACAGTTCCTTTCATGGAAGGATTAGCAATAATAAATAATTAGAAAGTCCAGTTGTATTAAAACGTGCACTAAAAACTATTGCGAAATGTTTCCAAAAATGTAATTACAATGTTTCTGTTGGTGCGCATTTTAGTTTAAAGTTCTAAGTATCAAATCGGTTGTGCAATTATCAAATCCATTTTATTTGTAGTTATTTAAATTTCTCCAAGTAATTTGTAGAAAACAGTTGATTAGATAAACACAACCAATGTACAAATATTTTTTCACATGAGCATTTCGAATGTGTAGTGCCGGAAAATAGTATTACTTTCTAAAATCGTATTTACAAAACGTATTAATATTTACAAAATCGTATTAACCTTCAATACAAACGATTTAAGTTTTGTTATACTTTACGATCGTTACTGTTGAGGAAACGAATAAAATAATTTAAATAATAATAATAATTAACCACACCATTTTTAAAAATGATAACTCTCTTTCTCTCTCTCTCTCTTAGTATATCGAAAATTAATATCACATATAATCACATATTAAATATAAAATAGATTTATCGCGAATAATATATATAACACACGTGTATCGTAAATATAAGGGTGGTTATCTGTGGTCAGACTATCGAGCCGAAACTCGATCCGAACCTCGACTGTTTTTTTGCCCGCGTAACAATGTTTACCGAAATGCTCGCGGTTTGAGGTTCGGCTCGAGTTGCAGCTCGATAATCTGGACGCACCCTAATAATATATGTATAAAACAAGCAGCCTCGTAGATTGTAGATGTTTGTTCCATATTTACGATTTGATCGTCAATAATAATCACCCACACATATTAATTATTAAGTAACAATCCATCGATGCAACAATTTAACGCACATACTCATTGTATGTGTTTAAATAAAGCAATAGCTCATTAAATGTTACTTGAAAGCAATGCAAGGAAAGCGAATTCACATGCGGTGAAGGCACAAGCGCATGTAGGAGTAACATAAGGTAGCGAAAAGCCAGCTCTGGAGCTAATCGAGAGATCGTAGCCACAGGAGATGCAGACGCGTAGAGAATCACTTACGTTTGGCGATCGACATCGATGGCTCGTTTAGCGTGTCACTATCCGAATCAGAGCTGACTGGTGAACAGAACGTCGGATCGCCTTCCTGACTGGATCTGTCGGACGTACAACACTCTAACGAATCGATACGCTGCAAAATCGCAAAGTGCTCTTCTACCTTATCGCGGCTCTCCTTAGCCGACGATCTCTAAATACGTTGAACAAGCTCGTTGAACATTATAAAGAATTCCATTCCTAAATGTCGTCAATGTTCTTTCGATTCCGTTTCGCTCATACCACGCGAAAAATTGCGTAGAGCGAATTTCGTACACACGAATATAAAATTTTGCTGTTTGCATTTCGTTTTGTTTGACCGAATAGAAAAATAGAAATACAGTACGGCAGAATTTATTAAAGAAATGCAAAGATATTGCGCGCCTACTTCGCTTGTGTATGCGCTTTCTCTCGTTTAGAACGTAATCTCGAGTAAACATGAGGCAGCCACGCATCGAGGGATTGACTTCTTTTATTCCTCATCCTTCGATTATAAAGATAATCCAAAAGAGCATTATTCGAAGGTGTTTACCTTTTCGCAAGCCGACTCGACGAGTTTTTGGTTAGAAGCCAACGTGAAAGCTCGCTCGGCTTTCAAAAACTGCTCCGTGATCCTCATATTTTTCATGAACTCTTTTTTGTCTTTAATGATGTCGCGAATCTCATCCTGGGACACGTCATCGTTGCTGTTTTCATCGTCATCATCGATACTGTCCATATCGCTCAACGCGTATTCATCCGGCTGAAAAGACAATAGTAAAAACGTAGCTAGATAAATCTTTTGTATCGTGCAGTAAAAGCACACACATATATGTGCAACATTAAAAATATAAATAAAACAAGCAGCGTATATCGTCGAAGTTGCGGGCTATTTGTTGAAGAAGAGTCAAGTCATCGAGTTTTTTTCGAATCCGTAAATTGACTGTGAACGTGAAATACCGTTTGGATTAGGAATTTGACAATATCGATATAGTTCAGAATGATAAAATGAACATTAAACAAAATTATAGAATTTAACTTACATCAAAATCTTCATCGTCTTCGCTATTTTCCAAAGCGAGTCGATTAATCTTCTCAGTCAGAGTTTCCTTTCTCTTTTCGTTTTCCTCCTTCTCTTGCTTCTCTTCCTCCGATTCGCTCATTGAATGTTTTGATGTTGTCGTAGAATCGACTGATTCTACTACTGACTTTTCTTCCGGCTCTTCTTCCGACTTTTCTTCCGGTTTTTCTTCCGGCTTTTCTTCCGACTTTTCTTCGGACGTCGTTACCTTAAAAGGATTTTTTGTTGTTTTATCGAATATTTTATTATATATTTTAATATAGCAAGAATAATTCTTAACACAATAAAGTAATCACGAACACATTTGATTTTACATTTACGGTAATAGCTGCTTTCCATTTACACACAAGTGAAACTGAGTCTGAAATAAGTATTTCATACTCAGACGTTTAATGACGTCATTACTTGCTTACTTTGGTAAAAAGTTATCACATGACAACACGGGTTCATAATTTTACTTTTAAGGTGAATTACGAGACTCACTAAAGCACACGGTCTCGATCTTGTGCAGATTATAGATAAAAACTCAGTTGTATCTCATTTGTCAGAGTGCAAAAAGAATGCTCATTCAACTGAGTTATGACATTACAAGTGAGAATTATGTAAATGGAAGGCAACTAATCTCAGAATCCGTCAAAAGATATCAATTTTTAGAATAAATAATTCTAAATTCTAAATTTCTTGGAAAGGAATCTAATTCCAAAAGGGTGAAAATATTGTCACTATTGAAAAAGAGTGAAAATATTTGCACTTTTGAATAGGAATGGAAAATTTTCACTCCTTTAGAGTGATATTTACTCCGAAGAAAAGAATTCTCACTTCTTTTTTGGAGTAAATCTCATCCAAACCATGAAATCTCATTTAGAAAAAAAAAGAGTAAAAATTTGTCACTCTTTTTCAATAGTGGCAGTATCTTATCTCTTCTGGAGTGAGATAATTTTACTCCAAGGAATTCAGAGAGACATTTATAAAAGATATGTCAGTAAAAAAAGAAACACTTGAATGAAATACTCAGAGAAAGAATGGGGTCATAGTATCTTCAAATAATAGTACAATTGGATACACATGATTTACGTTTACACAGGATAAGATACCGTTTTATTTACTGGATCGGGATCGAGGTTGCTACTAATATAAATTTTGGTAGGCGGTGGTGACGAAAAGGGTTTGGATGTATTCAGGCAGAATAAACTCGACAAAGTCAGACAAATGAACTTGATCAGGGTCTTCTTCATTGAACCTCGTTTATTGACGATCTCTTGTCCTACATCCACCACCAAGACTATTATCGTGTTAATTTTATTATCTTTGCAGTTGTGTTGCATTCGCTACATTTCACTGGCAAAAAATGCGCATCTTACCTCGAGCTCATATCTCTCTTTCTTGTCTTTCTTCATTGCATCATGTAGATACCTACGACGTGTTTGCACAAATTTTATCTGCCGAAAAAGTGTTTAATAAATAATAAGTTGAATAATAAAGAAAAAATAATTGAACGCAAATGAAATAAAACAGACGATGTTAAATAACTTTTTACGAAAATATTCATCTTATAACGGAAATTCAATGTGTTGTAAAGTTTGAACTTAAGTGTTTAATTTTAAAGTATTAAAATGTTTTACTCTTGTCTTAATTTTTTTAACACTTAAAAGATGTTTGAGTTATTAAACTTTTTTAATAAACAAAACACTGTGTGTTTGTATTTAAAACATTTTAAACGTTTAAAATTGAAATATCTTTTATTATTAAACGTTTGTTTTGCAAAGATGTTTTAAACATTTTAAATACTGCATTTTTTACAGTGTTTTTGTTGACTATTTCCTTTTGAAATTAACAGTTTTTATTAATCCTTACCGAACAAGGTCATGTCACTAGTGATCAAGCGATTCTTGTTCGTGCAAATCTCTTTGAGTTTTTCGATAATTATAAATTATACTACATTTTATTATTTTTCAAAAAGAAGTTTTAATATTTATTTTAAAAAGTTGAAAGTATGTTGGTGAATTTTAAAGATTTTTTGAACCGTTTTGAAACGGACGGATTCTAGTGATCCATGTTTAGACGGATGAAGCATCAAATTGTACCTTGTATTGTAAGGGTTAAGCAATATTAGTATTAAAACTGTAAAGATGGACATACCATTTCACTTGGCGTGATTTTAGGTGAATTGAACATGAAAGCACCTATATTAATTATTACTCTGATTAAACGTATTATTACTAAGCACGGCAAAAATAAGAGCCATGGTAATGGCCTCACGAGTTCTGTTGTTCCCGATTCTTTCTCATCTGAAATATCGATCCAATTCAGTCGTCGAGAAAAGTACATATTTTTCATCGTTTATCGTTAAAATGTTGAAAAAATATAGTTGATTCGTAAATCGCACCTTCGATATTCTGTTCAGGCAGACTCCATTCCATACACTTCTCTATGAACGACAGAAAATAATCCGTATATTTTAGTATTGTCTGACCTAATTTGTTTTGCAACATGATTGCAACAATCTCAATTCTATCCAAATACAATCCCCTTGTGGCGTCTCGTCGACTGTCTATAAACAACACGAGTAAACAATAATACTCGATCAATCGGAAAAACGTTTATCCGGATATATCTCTTAACAAATATAATTTTGAAATGCTTATTTTGATGAACTTGCCGTATCGGAAGTAAATTAATGCCTAGAAAGACTTCTTCCTTCTTTCTTTTTATTGGCTCTGCAATCTGACTAGTTAGTACTGGGCCACTGATGATCTTCGCAATCGAATAAATCGTAAAATCTCGGTATGCAACGCATCGGCCACCTTGAACCTTGAATCGGGCAGATGTAACAAAAGGATGAATCAGGATAATGCAATTAAAGTAGAAATGGCGATTTGAAGCGCTCCTTCAGACACTGGGCGCCTGTAACTACGTTCCCGGACCGCACAAACGCACGTCCAGCCGAATGAAGGGACTATATAGGTGCGTTCGGGGAGACGCTATTAGCGCTATTTGTATCATTCTATCCTTGTTTTACGTCTAATAAACAACGAAGATAGAATGACAGAGTAGCATTAATAGCGTCTCCCCGAATGCACCATATGAGTGTGTACCGGCAATGCCTAGAAAGACATTTGAAATCACAAACGGTTTGTTCACTTTAGGGCTCTTAGGTCCAATTCTAGAATTGGAAAGAGATAATGAATAAGTTGAACCTTGATTAAAAGTTAACCATGAATTTTGAAACTGGGCCTTATGGCGTGTGTACACGATGCTAAAAATCGGTCCGAGAAGAAAGAATTGACCAATTGCAATGGTCATGTGATCAAATTGTTCATGACAATTTGATCACATGACCATTGCGATTGGTCAATTCTTTCTTCTCGGACCGATTTCTAGCATCGTGTACACACGCCATTACGGACGAGCGACTTTGCCTTACGAAATTCGCGACACTTTTCTCCAGCCGTGTTCCAAATTTACTGCCAGCACTGAAAATGCTACAATTTACGTTACGTGTATTATAGATTCTCAGTGCTAGCAGTCTATTTTGGAACACAGCCTCCGTAAAGCCTTGTGTCCACGATGCTAGAAATCGGTCCAAGATCTCGGACAGAGAAAAAATTAACAAATCACATTTAAACAATTTGATCACATGACCATTGCGATTGGTCAATTCTTTCTTCATCCGAGTTCTCGGACCGATTTCTAGCATCGTGGACACAAGGCTTAACTCCGTATGAGCGGATCGGCGCTTTCGGCATTGTGGCGCTACAAAGTCGCTCGTCCGTAGGAATCCTTAATTATTAATTATTAATTCTAAGGCGAGAGTAAGATCACGACAGATCTCTTAAAAAAAAATATCAGAAATTACAAATTGTTGGAGAATATAACAAAAAAACAGGATAACATGTTATATATATATATATATATATATACGTTATGTGTACTATATATTTCGAGTAAAATTTTCCTTGGAGAGGAAGTTTTGGAACGTAGGCCTAGAAAAAGGTTTTTTTCTATTATAAATGAATTTTTCTTTTATAACGCAGAAAACATAAAAAAGTATATTTATTCAGAGATTGTGGATAACAGATTGATGTAATAACTTAATTTAAATATTAATTACAAGATTATAACAAAATCAATTTTTTATTTTCAAATATATTGCAAAGAAAATAAACTTAAAAATAATTAAGTTGAAATTTAAATTACTTTAATGTTTCCAACTTTAAGATATATCTTAATAATATAGTCAGATAGATATTTTTATTTATCTGCATGTATCGATTTGTTTACAGAAATGCGATAAAATTTTTTGCAAACTTATAGACGAAGATAATCTTTGCTAATTCACGATGGAATTTAATTTAGCTCAATTTTTACAAGATTGAGCACATCTACAATTTTTAAAATCCTGTCAGAAAAGTGCTGCGTACACGATACATATGATATATAGATAAAAAATTACTAAGTTTTATTACTAAGAAAATTTTTCTGCATACAAAATTTTGTAATTTATCAGATAATGACAATTTAATGTAGTTTTCCTCTCGCATGTCAAATAAATGTTAAATGGACTCATCGCGATATTAATAGATTATTATATAATAATTTGTCACGAAAAATGGTAAAAGCATTTAGGAAGTTCTGTGTGCGTTAAAACAAGCATGTGATATATTTAATTACGTAATTTCAATTTGTTTTGAATTCTGGTATTGAATCTTTATAATATAAAATTTATTGTGTGGATTGACTAATGGATATAAAATAATTAAATGGATTTATTAATGGATATATAATAATTTAATTGATTGACTGATAATTAGATTTTTAAATCAATTAATGTGATGTAACATAACTTCAATTTTAGAATACTTTAGATTAGCGAAGTGTCAATATTATTAATAGGCGTAATTAAAGTTTTTCGAAGCTATTCGCTCTAATTTTTAATGATGAGAGATTAGAGAGTAAAATTTAAAAATTAGAAACATCATTAGTAATGTGACATTTTGTACAGTGTTCATAAAATTTTCTTTGGTTGTACTCTCCTTAATTTAAAGTTTAAACAGAAGAGTATGATTGAATAATATCTTAAGCAATAGTAAGTTTACATTACATGCTGAGAGATAACCAAGAATTGTCTGTGTGCTGTCTAGTAAAAATCTAATTCTATCACTACCGTTTTACTAACCCGTTTGTACAAGTCATTTCGTTATCATGTTTGTCTCTTTCGACTTTTATCGTGTTTTCATTGGATTTGTGTAGCAGTCTTCTTGACCGTCAAACTTTTGTGTTTATATTGACAACACAATGTAACAGAAAAAGGTGATTTTTTTTCCATTTAGTATATAAGTGAGCGTGTCCACATATACGTGTGAATAATTGGAGAATATGAAGCCATGCTATTTCAACAGAGCTTTGAACAGAGTTATCCCGATTGCCATAAATCATGTATAACAGCATAAAATCGGTTATTATTCTTCGAAGTGTATCTTACAAATAGCATATTTTTAAAAGAAAAAATTATGTAAAAATTATTCGACAATTATTTATAAGCATCTTCTAAGGCATTTTCTTATTGCATTAAAGATTATAATATTTGATCATCAATTAATAACAGTGACGAATTTTCTTGCTAATGCAACAATTAAAAGAGAAACAAATAATAAAAATAAAAATTAATCGTATAGGTGCAAATCATTTATTTCTTCTCCGTTGATAAATTGACTGACTCGATGGAATTCGTTTTAAATTATTTAAAATCTAACATATCGTTTAATCTAGATAATTCGGTTGAATGTTTATGTTTGGGTCAAAAAGGATTTTGAAATAGCATCACACACTGGTCAATAAATCTCCAGTTGATTTTAATGCTATTTATCAAATCACGGAAAATCTTAATTAAATAATCGATTTTTTCAGTTATATAAAAATTGGTACATATAATCTTTCTTAATACATTGCATAACAATCTGTTTGAAGCACAGAATAATAGAGAACTTTTCCACCAGTTATTGATAAATTTCTTCAGGGGATACAAAGCATGATTTTTGCAATCTGTCTGTCTATAAACTTTAACTCTAATTACCTCTCGTTGCAAATACAAAAACTGGATAGAGAACTATTGTTGCTACCGCTGCTAATTGTGATCTTTGTCGCAATCACGTGCTGCAATATCTTAGAAACGGTGTTCTGTGAGATTGTGTGGAAGCTGTACTTCTGATGTATACTCAAGCACGCGCGAACGAACTGACACTTTCGTGACTGCGAGATGTTGAGCGCGAACTGGGAAAGCAGAAGTTTCACGGACAGTAACGTAACAACAATTAAGAGCATGTAAGCGGCGCCTTACATATAAGAGCCCATAATGATTTTTGAAACCTAGATTCCAGATGAGAGCATCAAGCCTGCAACACGATGCATCTCCTCGCTAGATTGCACGCGAGCTAATTAATAAAAATGTACCACGAGACACACATTTCTAGCAAAACAGTACGAAGAAATGCATCTGCTGCAGCTAGAAAAAGAAAATGAGACTTCATCTTAAATCTACTGACAGAAGAGTATCATAAATTTTTTATCTGATCAATTCGGAAAAATTATTTATATAAGTTAAAATATATTCGTACTTATTATTAGCAATATTAAAAATTTTTTCAAGTATATACTGTTCGTGAATCTTTGAAGCACATCTTCATGAATTTTTTTTCCTTGGGTAATTACGAGATTTACAATCACATTGTTTATCGCTATTAACATATATACTTTATACCTCTAATATACATCTTGCAATAATATATGAAAAAAATTATGCCCCATTTATTACATCATGTCTACATCAAAATTAATTTTTTATAACGGATAATTTATCTGATAGACAGCTTTGTTTCTTATAAGGTTCTAATTCTACTAGATAATTACACGATTGCAATTTAGCATTATTCAAGGCTTTTCTCTCTTTCTTTCTCGTATGACCTTCTCTCGCGAATTTCAATTAAAAATTTATAATTACATAGGTTATTTTCACTGCGCATCAAATATATCGAAATATTCGAATACATTCGAAGATTCGAAAACAATCGAGTCGATTTTATTAAACGTTTATTATATCGGCATTAAAATTTTAAATTTTGAAGCATATATGCGCGCATACAGAGCGATGAACAGCTGGAGCGCAAGCTAAACTGTATTCTTCTTTGCTGGAACTTAGTAAAGACGTAGCACGTAATGCAAATTACATTCTAGACAATTATGTCACGATAATCGACGCTTCTCGCTTAAATTAATTCGATTATGACGCACAATCAATGTTGATCTCGATTGTCGAAACCAATATAATATTGAAAGCACACACACATGTTAAAAACACGTAAGCGTTCGCAAAACGTCTACATGCCGTAACCCTTTCGCTCGTTGTCCCTCTCATTCCTCCGCTCTCGGAACGTATGGATTTTACAAACTTTTTTTTACGAAAATGAGATATAGCAGCATCATAATTGACGGTGCCTGTACAATATAATTGTAAAAAAAAAAATAAACATTTCGCGTTTATTCGTGCGATTCTGAGTATTATTCCGAAATCTCAAATTCACCGCATTTTAAGGCCATTCTTATATCCCGAGAGACTGTCATGGAGATGCAAACATGATCGGTTCTTTTCTAAAATCGATTTGTACGGGATAAACATTAATAGATGAATCTTTCAATATCAGCTCTAACTTTAAGTTTTTCATATCTTTGTAAGTCAATAATCGCATAAGCGTACCATTTTGTTTCGCAATCTGCCTTCACGAAACGCACACTGTTTAATTTATTGAAATCAAAATATCTAGACTATATGCGCGTGGTGTTTATGTTCTTACAAATATGTTATGTAGTAGTTTCTATGTTGGTAAGACGCAGATAGAATATCAAAGCGGAATTAAATTTTTAATTATTAATATTATGTATATCCAAATTATTTTGCTGACGATGAAAATCTAGTGTTTCACATGAAACTATTGAATGCATCGGCCATATTGCACATAAAAAACGAGTGGAACAAATTGAGCAGTTTTTGTTTGAACTTCTCAATAGGTCTAATGTTTTAGATGACTATAGATTTCAAAAGGCAAAATTGTTGACGGGGGCTTCGTGATTCATTATCGATCAAACTTAATACAATTACAAACAAAACACTCACGCATTAAAAAAATGTGTAGTTAACGTAAGTCGCTACGTAACAGTACGGATGCAGATAACATTAATAGGCATCGGTATCCACATAAATTTTTGAGGCAATTCGAGAGCCATTGATCTTCGGAACTCTACCATTTTAACGCTATAAGGAATTGCAATAATTTGTGATAGATTACTAGTTGATTTTTTTTCTCTAATTTTCTCCATTTCTTTCCCTCTTTTAGCAACGGCCAATAAAGAACAAGTTATTCAAGTGCACTACTCAACTTAAATCTATTCTAATGTTGTGCGAATCTTAATGATTTCAGTGAACTTTATTAACAAAATGTATGCACAATCCGCGCAAAAACGGTTGAATTTGCTCATGTAAAATAGCTTATGTAATAATTATGCAAGGGGTAATGATACTGGCTCACAGGCATGGTAAACTGAAACGCACTTGGATAATTTGCTGTTGTTCATTTCGATTACATCCGTAAATAAAAAAGGTTAATATTCCTCCTCATCATCAGGCGCAAGTCCGTCACCTTCCAATTCCTCAGGTGGTGCAAAACCATCCTGAAAAAAGACGAATAGAAATTAAAGCATTTTATTCAAGGGAATTCTTAGAATTGCAGAATTATTATATAAATGTAAATTACCTCTGTTGCATAAAGGACTTCTAAAATTTTCTGTACAATAGGTGGAGGATCGCCGCCGTTGTCACAGTCTTGGCACATGACTTCTATGTCACGTAATTTTCCAAAATAGAAATCTCTCTCCTTTTCCAGACCTTCGACTGACATTTTCAGTTCAACCAACTAAAATATTTCAATATTAAGAATCTTTATTTTAGACCGCGCGCGCGGCGCATATGTGAGAACACAGTCAATACTAGAAATCAAATGCTTATAACGGTCGAAGCTGGATCTTTAATGGTTAAATAATTCAATGTGAATATATATATTCAATGTGAATATATATATATATATGTACTTCTATGTACATGCATATATACTATATTTATAATCATTCAAACTGCACACCGAATTGGTTTTCCGGACTTATAAACGCAATTAAACTACTATAATAATATCATGAATTAAATTAAATTAACAAGCAATTTTTAATAATTAATTTGATGCTCAATCAGGCATCATATTAGAAAGATGTGTATATGCTGAAAAACTATAAAATAAATTTATTGCGAAAAATA